AAAAATTAGGTAGTGCTAATACTGGTGGAGTCATCATGGCTTGCTTCAAGGCATTGAAAGCTTGAGCAGCAGTAGGGGACCAATGAAAGCTTTGTTTTTTGGTTAAATATGTCAAAGGTTTTGCCAATTGTCCATATCCTTGGATGAATTTTTTGTAATAACCTGTGAGACCAAGAAATCCCCTGAGTTCTTTAAGTGTAGTAGGTATGGGCCATTGCTGGATTGCACTAATTTTACTGCTGTCTGCAATTACTCCTTGCTCCGAAATGACATGCCCCAGATAATCAATCTGAGAAACAGTGAAGGCACACTTGCTTTCTTTAAGCTTCAAGTGATGATGCCTCAGAATCTCCAGTACACATTGCAGATGCTGTAAACGTTCACTCCGTATCGCGCTATATATCAAGATATCATCGAAGAAGACTAATAGAAACTTCTTGAGATAGGGCTTGAATATGCAATTCATTAGGCTCTGAAAGGTTGAGGGTGTGTTTGTTAAGTCGAAAGGCATACCAAAAACTCATAGTGACTTTCATGCGTCCTAAAAGCAGTTTTGTGAATATCCTGTTCATTCATTCTAATCTGATAATATCCAGATCTCAAGTCTAGTTCGGTGAAAAGTTTAGCCCCAAAAAGTCCATCCAATAACTCCTCAATCAGTGGTATAGGAAATTTGTCCTTTATAGTGGCAGTATTGAGTTCTCTATATTCTATGCATATTCTCCAGGTTCCATCCTTTTTCTTTACTAACACCACTGGTGAAGAAAAAGGTGATGTGCTGGGCCTTGTAATACCATTTTGCAGCATTTAATCTTTCGATTTCATTCTTCTGAAATGTTGGATATCTGTAGGGTCTTACATTAACAGGGGGTGTACCTTCCTTAAGGCAGATTTGGTGATCATGTGCTTTATGAGGGGGTAATTCTCAAGGTTCGGCAAACAAATCTTCATGTTATTGCAACAATCTATCCAAATTTGAGTTAGGAATTGTTACCTACTTGGAAGGAACTTCAATAGAATATAACGTACCAGGATCCTCCTCTCTGTGAGTAGAGATAAGGCATAATTTTGTAGCTTCCACCTCCTCTGGTTTCTTGAACAATTTCTGCATCTTCTTTTTAGAAACATATTGGACAACGCCTTGTTTCGAACCTCTCAGTACCATGTTCTTTCCCCCGCTAAGGAATTCCATCTTGAGGTCTGCAAAGTTGCACTTGACATCCCTAATAGTGGAGAGCCACTGGATTCCCAAAACCACCTCACATCTCTCTATAGGTGGGACCATTAGATCAATAGTGAAAGTTTGGCCTTGCATCTTCTAAGAAAATTTAGAACACAACTGATTAGTTGTGAGCCGAACACCATCTGCAACTTCCACACTTAAAGGTGCCACTTCCTGAGCTCTAAGCCCCAATTTGTTGACCACGTTGGGGTGTATAAAATTGTAGGAGCTTTCATAGTCAATAAAAATGTTAATGGACTTGGTTCCCACATGACCAGTAACTCTCATCGTTTTAAAGTTCAGCGTCACTGTGCTATTCATAGCATGCATAGATATATGAGCCAAATTTTCCTCTGTTTCTTCATCCTCCTGGACCATCTGGTCCTCCTCTTCCATTGTGTCATCCTCTTCCTCCTGCACTTCAATCCTATATAATTGTCTTTTTCTTACATTTGTGTCCCTAACCATACCTTTCATTGCACCAGAAACATAGTCCCTTGGCTCTTTTCTCATCCATCTCTGAAGCACTCAGAGTTCTGGAGTTCTTCTTTAAGAATGACGCCTCAGTTGGGTTTGGCAACAGTGGAGGACCAAATATTTCTTTGAGAGATTGTGTGGAGTTGAACATGTCTCTGCTGACTAAGAGAGTTTTGAAAACTTCTGGAGCCTCTGCTGGTATTCAAGATCTTAGCCTCTTCAAGCTTGGCCAGCCCATACACATGTTGCAATGTCTTAGGCATGAACATTTTGACAGCCAATTGGATATCTTCTAGCAGTCCACTCAAGAAGCAGCTAACTACATAGTTTTCTGGTAACTCTACCCTGTTAAGCAAATTTTCAAACTTCTCTTGGTATTCTTGAATATCACCTCTTTGTTTCAGGCTTTTTAAATCACCCATAGGGTCATCATACAACACATTACCAAACCGTGCCGCTACTGCCTTCACATATTCCTCCCAGGAAGGAAGGTCTCTAGTGAGCCTTGATTTCATAAAAACCTAATGCCTCTGAAGAGCTCTACCCTCTATGTGAATAGCAGCCAATCTTACCTTGGCCTCTAAGGGTGTATCATCAATATCAAAAAATTACTCACACCTATAGAGCCAACTCTTAAAATCTTCCCCATAAAATCTAGGAAATTTCACTCTAGACAATCGGGTGGATGCTTGATACCCAGATCTTTGAGAAGACTGGGACTCGCGGTTTTCAGAATTGGCTGAATTCTGATGGCTACCATTTCTCTATAGATTCATCTCCAAAATGAGGATCTGAGATTCGAAATTTCTTTATCAAACTGGTCCTTTTGTTCCTTCAATAAATTTTTCAGATTTTTTTCCATCCGTCTGCTGTCTTGAGATCTTGTGCCTTCTGCCATTCCTAAATTGAGCTCAGTTCTTAACCCAACTCTGATACCAATGATGCAAAAAACAGGAGATCTCACACACTCAACTCCAGAAAGATACGACAATGAAGAATACCTCTCGAGGAGATTGAGAAAATCTTATTAAAGGGAACAATAGAGAGAGAAAATGATACAGTGAAAATTCTAATTACAATCAATGATGCATCTCCTCCTCCTTATTCTTCCGTATATATAAGCTATCTAAGTCGATTACCTGGACCGCCTAAAGTTAGTTATCCAGTTTCACGACCCCAACTGCCGTAAGTAACTATTCATAACTGACTAACTAACTACTTGTCAGCTCAGCCTTCTAACTCAGTAGTTGGTTACAAGAATGAATTGGAAAGTTGTTGTGAGAAAGAAATTTGCGTATCACTTTCCCCATCTGTTCACAGCCCATGATAAAAAACTGATCCAACCACGGCGACCAGATTACAACTAGATTTGGTCACAGGTTACGATCACATGGGAAGAGAGGAAGGGGGAGAGGGGTTGCTGGAGAGAGGTGGGAAGGAGGGGGAAAGGGAGGGGAAGGGATGAGGAGGGAGGAGAAAGAAGGAGAGTAAGAAATGGAAGAGAGAGAGGGAGGAGAAGGGTGGTGTAGTGGCAGTGGTTGTGATGAAGTTTTAAAATTTTTAAAAATACCTCACTAAAATTTTAAATCTAAAAAATACCACAAAATATATCCTTAAAAAACCGCTAAAAATATTTACAATAAAAGTTTTTCACATACATTGTTACAATAAAATATTTCAAAAACACCTCAACCTAATCTAAACTTTTAGAATTAAAAAATCTATCGAATTGATATCTCATTATCTCCACAAGACTATTATTAGGATCTTGTTCTGCTATTGCTATCATGATCCTAATAGAGATCAAAAAACAAGCTAAAATTGGTTTGCTACTTTTGGTCTTTTTAAATAATACTACTATTAGATATATAAAGTCATCTAGATTTTATATGCTATTAGGTGTATATAGTCATCCAAATAATATTAGATATACATATAGTCATCTAGATTTTAGATGCTATTAGGTGTATATAATCATCTTGATTTTAGATAGTCATCAAATCTTAAAGTTTATACGTGTAGCCTAAAAGTTTAGGCTTTTGTGGAAACTAGAGTCTACAATCATGGCATGTCCAAAACTATCAAAATCAACCCAATTATAGTAATCATAAACGCGTCATGGATTCAATTCAATTCATTGAAGTATGGGCAAATTAATTATTGTTCAACCCCTTCAATCTTCATCCACATTGTTCTTTTGCAAACTTTGATAACCTAAAAAACCCAAAAATTGTGATTGAATATTATAATGCAATCTAGGAATATAAAAATTTTTAAGAGTCACACATTTTTCATGTAATAGATCGCTACCAGATTTCCTTGAGAGGGAGCGATGAATTGAAATGAAGAGAAAGTTTTTAAGAGACATATTTTCATGATACGCTAGACTGAAACTAGATTTCTTGAGAGGGTATGGTGCATTGAAATGAATGAAAAAATTTTCAAAAGATATGTTTTAGATCGCTTCCGGATTTCCTTGAGAGAGAAAACCCAATTGTTTGGACGTTGTCGTCGGGAGTCCTACAACAGCAGTGCTTCAACCGGGGCTCCCACTAATAGGCTCGTCAAACTCAGGATTTCCATTACTAGGCTCGTCAAAACTAAAATCGACCGCACTGATTTGCCCAAATCGCATCGGTCATGCAAAATTTTCATTTCAGCCCACTACAAACTTTATGCTGTAAGTTTATATCTTCCTAGATAATTTTGTAGTAGCTGATATTTTCTAAAAGTTAATTTCAACAGAATTTCTTAAATGTGCCAAAAGATTCTACTTCTATTGCACGGATGATTTTAGTTAGCATCTCCTCTGAAAATCACAAGATCATATTATTTTGAAAATTACAAAAAATATATATATCCTAGGATTGTAAGATCCTAAAATCATGCAGCCTTCCCTTTATTCCCAACCTAAGGAAATGAAGAGAATGAATTAATGTACCAAACACAAATTTCATCAACTAAAATACCATAAAATTTTAGACACACTACACTCAATTTTGTTGTTTGATGAAAAAATTAAAAAAATTTTATGGATAGCCTAAAGTCAAATAAAACATTTATAACCAGAATTATCAAAATTTTTATCAAAGTAGACTTAAATATCAAAGTTCTAGCGATCTGATTGACACTCAATTTTGTTGTTTGTAAATCTGAATTAAAGAATTTCTTTCATTGTTTCCAATGATCAAATGATAAAGGATAATTGCTGAATTTGTTCCATGGAAAATGCTATTATGATGCGTAAGCAAATTCAACTAAAATTGAACATAAAGCAAAGAAACCGCAAGAAAACGAAATAGGAGAAGCCTACTTCCTGCAATTTTATTACTATCTCGTAGAAAATGCTTCATTATGAATCACGAAGGGACAGAAAGAAAGAACAATAGATTGATGAAAACCACAGGTCTATAAATGTAGCCAAAGTAGAGTCTACTTGCTCCTAGTTCGGAATATAACATATTCGACATCAAAGAATCTAGGGGGAAAATCAGGAATGGAGAGGAGATAGGGGCCCATGTGAGGAAGCACTGAAACAGCAACTGGGGCGATATTCCTCCATGACCTTATTACTAATGAAGCCTTCCATACTTCTTGCAGCTCTGGTTTCTGGTTAAGATCACAAAAACGGAGGTAAAGTTAATTCATCTAAAAATGAATCTTAATTACAGGAGGTATTGCGATCCAGACCTGAAATGTTTTTGGCTGAACGGGTACAAGCTGCTGTTAACTTCTGTGCAGTCGGAATATGAACTGATCTAGTGAAATAGACCTATATCTAGTATTACCTGCCAGGGAATGACCACAATATTATCTTCATGATTAGCTACTAACAAATTTCTGCAACGAATTAAGGGAAAAATGCTCCATCACCAGAATCACAGCCAAAAGGAGAGTTATTCTTACCTATTGGTATTATGGGTCATTTGCCGCTACTAGACTTCTGGGAATTATTCATACCAGTAGCACCTTTGGAATCAATGCATGGTGTAAGTGGTGGGAAAGAAGGAACTGCTTGCAATATAAACTTGCGGCCAGTTCTCAAACCTGTGGACGAGCTAGAACCCGGCTCAGTCCCTTGACCATGAGGAGGAGAAACTCGCTTCTTATTAGGCGAGCTTACTTTTATAGCATTAGGTGGCATGGGGGTCTCCTTCAGAATTTCAGGTGTGTCATCATCCAAGATGCTATATAGTCCACCATCAAAGTCAACTGCTTCATCAGGTTTGGTTCCATCAAAATGGGTAGATGATCTACGCCAGCGAAGGGAATTTGCAGATGAAACCTGGTGATTTGCATAGGTTTGAGCTCTTGATGTATTTTCCCAATCCTGTGGATCAGGCAGGGCTGCAAGGCGCCCATCATTTCTTGGTACTTCACATCTAGGAGAGCTCTGATTCACCGTATGTTCATTGCCATACCCTATCCCCTGGCCAAATGAAACTAGATCCATAATCCCAGTATTAGCTTCTATTATCATGTTGTGAGTATCAGGATTTCCAGCTTGTCCTGGGGACATTCCATATGGTGCTAAGTAGGTTAGACAAGATTCAGGTGATTGAAGATACCCCCCAGAAGATAACCAAGCTTTTGGAGCACCCTTTCCATGGCTGGCGAGGAGAGAGAATCAAACAGTCAGTAGTAATGCTGACCGTACAAGAGATCACATCCATTAAAAGAAAATGAAACATCAACTTCTTCAATCAAAAGGAATCTTACTCTGAGCACTGAAATGCAGGAGTTAGAGGAGTCAAGCTGTGAGGATTGTATAATTCATTGTGCAGTAAACCATCTTTTGATGCCACTGACTCCAGCGTTGTGCCAAATGAACTATCCAATTTCTCACCATGTTTGCTAATCAGATCCTTGATCATACCAAATTCTGAAGTAAATAGTGCCTTGTTAAGATTACAATCGATGAAGTATCCAGTTCAAATAGAGGCTACCATGAAACCTTTATTTGATTACTCTAGTCTAACTTATGTGGTAAGAAAAGTTCCGAATTCATAAATCCAAATGAGCTAATTTTCATCTATCATAATTCTATACAGTTTTTAGGCCAAAGAGTTCCAACAGTCCAAAGTTTTTTTTTTTAAAAAAAAGACAAGACAAACAGAAAAACAAAAAAAAAGGGAGTTGACAAGCAACTAGACCAATCAAATTAATCAAGTACAACTTGAGACTCAAAACAAAATGCTTGACTTATTGGCTGCGTCTAACAAGTCTTTTACTACCCATCTTTGCCCAGATTCTTGATACCTCTCAAGCAACCAGGATGTGCTTTATGGCAGCCTCATGCTCCTTAAATGCTTATACGAAGACTGCAGGATGTACTATTTTGATGGTTGAGAGATATATTCCTGGATCTCGAGAAAAACTAACATATGAAAGGCTGACCAAAGTCTTACATCGTATTTCAACAAATTTTTCTAGAGTCAGTCTGGCCCTTCTACTATTTATTACACAAACCACTGGTCCATCACCATTTACTTATATCTAAGATTGGCATTTATCCTTATTTTGTAGTCTAAGATCAATTATCAAAGGCGTGAAAATACCATGCTATCTATTTCGGGGGAAAGTGGTAGTCTTTTGATTCTAAATACAGATAGAATCCTATTTATGCTTCAAGTAAGGCAGATTCACGTGAGGTGAACTTTTAATTACTTGGAGGTACTTTGTTAAAGTGTAAAACACCAACAAGATTGTTAAGCACAAATTGACCAGTTATTTGAGCACTTATCCCACAAGTATTTAATTGCTAGCAAAGCAAACGTTTGCTTGAGAAAGAATGCTTTTCAAAGAAACTTGTTAAGCACAAATTGACCAGTTATTTGAGCACTTATCCCACAAGTATTTAATTGCAAGTAAAGCAAACTTTTGCTTGAGAAAGAATGTTCACCAAGAAGCTTGTTAAGCACAAATTGACCAGTTACTTGAGCACTTATCCCCTAACTATTTAATTGCTAGTAAAGCAAACTTCTGCATGAGAAAGAATGTTCACCAGTCAGTTTATTCCTGAATTTTGTGCTAATACAGAAATCCAATTCAGATTAATCTTCATAACAAAATCGCATAAGTACATATCTGCTTCATTTCGACCAGAACCTAGCTTCTGCTCTGAAGTAACTCTTTTCATTTGTCAACAGAATTGCAATCTTTAGCTAAAATTTTATTCTGGTATGCTCTTTCGTTTAGACAATTCTTATCTCATGTACAACAGTTTCAATCGAAGAGACCTAATAGGAGACATGCCCATTTGTAACAAAGCTGGAAGGTCTTCAATTTTCTTTGTGGATGCATCACCCAACATCCAGTTTAAGAACATTAGTTCAAAGTAGCAAGAGATGTGCAGATATCAATATGAGGGTTAACATAAAGACTCATTATTGTGAATTTTAAAATATTAAGTCTGATCATTACAAAATTATATAATTCTAGAGTGTGCCACACGGTCAAGAGTCCACCTTTATACAAATTTAATTGTCATTATGCAAAGAAGAAAAACCATACCTCCCTTTTGGCCATAGACGTTTTCACATGCCTCACATCGACATCCATCAGAACATCCAACATTAGCCTTCAGCAAAGACAGCATCAAAATAAAATAACAATCATGATCAAAAAAAGTCCTAGAAGCTGAAGTCAGAGTACAGATATCACAAGCATAAATTACTGATCTTGCAACAAACAGAATGACATACCTGATAGCATTCACAATACTTTTTCAAACACTTTGACTTCTTGCAATTGCATCCCCTCTTGTGCCTCGCTGATGAAGGTGTAAAATGCGACCCATCCTCCTGGCAAACAATACCAAATGCATAATTCACTGTTGATATATTATTGCAAAATTCAGAGTTTCTGAAGGCTTAAATACCACACAAACATTTGTTGGAGGTTCAGTCAGATGCTGTATAATTTTTGGAGCAAATGCGAGTGGATTTCGAGATTCAATTTGTTGTCGTGTTTCAAGAACAGTATCTTCATATTCAGGTCTGTTGAAGCAGCCTTGGCAAGCACAAGGTTCAGCACAATAGATACCAGCAGCAAAGCAATCACAGTATCTGCGAACAAAGCAATTAAAATGCCAAATGATGTAACTGTAACCTCAAGCGACCAATACCATCAATCCCCTTACAATTTCAAGCATTTGGTCTTCTTGCAATTGCAGCGTTTGCAACCACTGCCATCACCAGCATCCAATGTTTTTTTCCTGCCATAAAGATAAATTGAATCAAAATGAAAATGGAGTTAAAAAATATATATATAAGGATAAGAAAATGCCAAAAAGCTCAAAAACATAGAAGTCTTAACTTCAAAAGAAATGTTAGCTTGCCTTTTCTTTTTTGGGCTTGACTGGCCAAAATCCACGAAGCTGTCAGAAGTTTCAGAGGTACACATCCTCTTATTTGAAGAATTTGGTTGAAGCTCAATTGGTTTCAAAACCACAGGTTCATACAACGGTTTCATGCTGCAAGGAGACAAAGTACTAGCAGAATTTGCAGCACCTGAGGCATGCTCATTGTGCCTACTCTCATCAGAAATAGGAACACCCTCCACATTTGCAGACGTCGAAAAATTATGATGCAAACTACTGCCTGTTATAGACATGGACTTCTTACCAAGCCCATTAAAACTACCTCTCTCAGCTGATCTCATACTAACCTTTGCACCAGAACCCATCTGCATAGAATTTATGATACTATTTAAGTATAAAATCCAATGCCCGACCGCTTGGGAAGTTTGGAATTGTAATTTCCACTGGTCTGAGGAGAAAAAAATGGTGGGGTCATGTTAGCCAATAGCCTATTGCTGGGACTAGCAGGTTTATTTAGCGAAGCTGATTCAAGGACTTCTGAACCAGCAGGACTGGCAGGTGACCTAGGATAGCCGTCACTTCCAGAAGAATTCTGATAACCACTGTTTGGAATGATTTTGCCTTGAGTGTCTTCAAATTGCAAACAACGTCTACTTATGCCATGCTGGTGTTGAACAATCTAGGTCAAGAACCAAGCTTATTCCATTAAAATATTGTTTCAGAAAAAACATGGCATTCTATCTAGGTCGTTTCAGAAACAACCTAGATAGAAGGTGAAATATGCAGAAGCTGATGAAGTATAGAATATCTCCCATGCATTGACAAGGAGCCAACATTTTCTACTGAATTTTTTTACAGTGAATACAACTTAAACTTGCATCCCTAAATTAAAAGGTTCAAATAACAGTCATCACATCGCTATTCTTAATATCAGATCATAACTTTGAAATAGACACATAATCAGTTAAAATGTTTACATTTATTACATGAAACTTCTTCATACCTGAGCACAGTGACGATGCACTTTGTTCTCGAGCGATTCAGTACATTGTACTCCTGCATTCTCGAGAGATCTTCCACAATCCTGTGCAACTTGCAGAGATTCTGACAGCAAGTTACATCCCACTTCAATCACATGACCAGATCCTGCATTCTGCATTCAACATTTTGAGAGACTGGAAAAAGGTACAATTCCTCTTATAACAACAAAATGACCAAAAAATACCTCGGCCATTGAACGCCCTCCACTTTGATTCTCCAAAGCATGACCTACAGACTTGTCTGGCTCAACCCTTGGGTGTAAATCAGGCGGCCCATTACCATCTCCTGAATTCTGATCTGGTACAACAGACTTAAGATCAGATGGTGAGTCTTTAAGATTGTACTCTTCAGCTTGCTCCAATGTTACAGAAGCAGCTCCCATTTTCATCTCTTCTCTTCGCGTATCATCCTTGTCCTCAGTGTTTTCTGCAGATTCTTTTGAGTCTAATAATTCATGCTGTGACTGGGAGACATCATCAGAGCTTTTAGGAGTCAAATTCGCTGAAGAATCAGAATCTCCACCATCCATGTTCACAATGTCAGTTAAGTAATCATTGCCACAAACTGGAGGGCTGCTAGCTTTTTCAGGTTTAGAATCGTCAATAAATTCTTTTTGAGGGCAACTTCTCAACCTACTGCTCAAATGGCAACTTGATACCCTAGATTCCTCCGCAACTGTAAGAGTATCTTTACAACTCTCATGCTCTTCAGATAATCCTGCATCTGATGATCCAGCAGACTGGGGCCTGAGAATATTCATGATCATCATCACATTAATTCAATACAGACAGCCAATATTATTAAAGAATGAAGATATTCTTGAATGAAACTTCAAATTCATTTTGCACCTTTTAAGGAAACTTGGTTGGCTATTTGGATTTATATGAGGAGATCTGAATACAAGGGGAGGAGAATTGATTCCAGGGAATCCCTGTGAACCGAGTGCAGCCTTGTCAGGCTTTATTGGAGACAGGTTGCTTATGTAAGAGAAAACTGGGGACTCCTGAGATTCAAAGAGAAATCAAGTAGTAAGAGTAATATATCCATGATAACAGAAACGGCTCAAACCCTGGATATCTCCCATGCTTTACTCAGATTAAAAAGAGGCCAATCAGATAATTCTCATAGTTTTTTTTTAATTTTAATTCATCTTCATTGTCTTTTGTGGCATTAACAAAGACATAGAAACCATACATTCTAAAATAACAGGAATATAAATGCATTAGTAGTACCAAGCAAAAAAATCCTTGTAGAATAAGAAGTCCCGGAAGGATTCCATTTAGTGGCTAGAAATGGAAGTCAACCTTCAATGACAGGTACTTGATACCATTATTCCTAGAAAATTGCAAGAAACATTCTGCACAAACTAATCAAAAATTCAGAAACAGACGAATGCTCAAAAGAAAGACCATCCTTTCCCATTTTCCCCTTAACTACAAGCAACCAAAAACCCCATTTTCAGCAAAATTCAACCTAAACCCGCATCAAATCAGAGACCATTTTAGCACAATTTCAAGCCCCAAAAAGGAAATGCTAGCAAATCCCTACATTTTTGTCCAGGCAGTTAACATCCGATGCGACAAAAAACCCAATACCCTAACATGAAAAATTCCCCAACCCACCAAAAAATAACTCAGACCCATTTCAATTCAACCAAAACCCATCACGGAAATCCATAGCTCACGCACCAATTAAGACAAATCTACTCAAACCCATTTCAATTTCATCCAAAACCCATTACAAAATAACCCATCTTTTTCACATAATTGCACTAAATAAAGAGCCAGAATACAAAGGGAGAGAGAAAGTGAGCACACCTGGACTTGAAGAGGAGGGATTGGCAAAGGTGGAGAATGAGTTGAATTGTTGGGTTTGGAAGGTTGTTCAGGTGAAGAATCCATCCTCTAAAACCCTAAAATTCTTAGAACAGTAGAAGTTATAATGAGAGGACTTTTTCTGCATCCTTCTTCACTCCAATTTTCACTGGTTCCGCTTATTTTCTCTCTTTTTCTTCTTGAATAGTAGTAGTTTCCCTAGTCAATTTCAGTCAGGTTGATGATGATGGAGTAAGCATTTTTGCTTTTCTTTTTTTTCTTTTCTTTTCTTTTATTTTCTTTTCCTCTTTTTTTTTTTTACCGCAGGAAAAAAGGGATGAGATAGGAAAGCAGAAAAGAAGGGCAAGCGGTAAGGTTGTTAAATTTGGACATGTGAGAGAAAAAAAGGATAGAGATGTAAAGAGGAAAATGTGTGGGAAAAAGAATTTTAAAAATTGATAATTGCTTGGGCGGGAAAAGGCTGTTTTTTCGTGCTTGTGGGTCGGTTACTCAGCCCAAACCCGAAGAAAAGATGGTTAATTTCATTTTTTGTTCCTATACTTCTTTGTGTTTGGTATATTAGCCCCGAAACTTTGGACCACATACTTTTGTACTGTCAAATTGCTCCATAAAGTTTCTTTTGTGTTAATTGCCTGTCTTGAATTGATTGCTGAGTCATTGCAAATTATGCCAAGTTATTATAGAGTTGGTGATTGGTTCGTGAAATGACAATTCAACATTAAGAGATTAAACAAAATGATCGCAATAGTTTAGATAATTTCAATATCAAGAGATTGACGTGAGTTTTTGAGCAATAATGTAGGCTGATCGTGAGAATCTTTTGCTATTTTATTCTAATACATTGTGTGAATGTAACTTATTATTTGGGAGAAATCACAAGTACGTTTGTGATTAAGTTCGATAATTCAATCTAAGAAAATAGAACGTAAAATCATGGTGTTGTAAGGTATTGTTTTGTACTTTTCTTGCATAAAGCTTTAGATTGTATGCTTGTCCAATGCTTTAAAGACGAGACATACTTGACTTTGTCTATATATTTGGTAAGACGTGAAATACGATATGACAAATGTGAATTGTTCAAGTATGCAAATTTTTGCTAATACTAACTCCTTTATCTTGTAAGCATATTTTTATGAATGAATGATATGATCAGTTATAAAAGAATACTTTGTAATTAGATCACTTAAGTTATGGTGCATTGGTGATTGGACATTACAGAAGGGTATTTGTTTGGCCACGTGGTCTTCGAACAAGTATGGTCAAAGTTTTCCATGTGATTTAGCATGCATTTGATAATATTGAACTCTGAAAACTTAAAATCTGAAATTTGAATTTACTAATTTATTGAATTGTAAAATATTAAATTTAATACATTTGAATATATTTCACATTAAGTAATAAATAAATATGTCATCACATATTTTTGAGGAGCAAATTTGCCTAGAAAATTCGGTGTCACTTAATTAATTTAGATGTTTAATTTTTTATCATCAAACACGTCTAGACATGTGTTTTTTTTTTTTTATAATAGATCTGAATATGTTAAGATCTAAATTTATTAAATTTAAAGTGCTGAATTGAGTTATCAAATAGGACGTTAAATGTAAATTCATATAGCTTTCTTGAATATATGTCATCACATATTTTTGAGGAGCAAATTTGTCTAGAAAATTCAATACCACTTAATTAATTTAGATGTTTACTTTTTTATTTTTTTGATAATGGATCTGAACATGTTAAGATCTAAATTTATTAAATTTAAAGTGCTGAATTGAGTTATCAAATAAGGCGTTAAGTGTAAATTCATATAGCTTTCTTGAAAATATGGGTTTTATTTGTGCGCATGCATCAAGTCAATGCATCGTATATGTAATTACATACCAGATTTTGAAGGAAGTACCACAATGATACAAATTGGACCAAAACCAATATGCAATATTGAAAGAAGTACCATAATGACACCAATTGGACCAAAATCAATTCACATTTACCACAAAAAGCCATCAAATTCATGGTAAAGATCCATATGCCAGTAATTCTCTAACCTAATCTATTGACGCCCTTTTCTCTAAGTTACGAGTTTATCCAACTCAAATTCAAATTGGAATAACTCATTTTTAACAAGTCGTCAATTTAAGTTACCTAAGTCAACTTATAGAACCTCAGGGGCATGGGGAGTGGATTGGGTGATACAGGAGAGAAAATATAAGTAAGATGTTTCAGATTCGAGATCCCTGACTTGAAATTTTTTTTTTTATAGGACCTCCTCTCTCCTCCTTAACTAGATCGATTTTTTTTTTTTAAACAGAGGTCAAAGTTACCATTAACCCTTTAACCAAATTCAAATTTTGAACGTAGATAGAAGGAATGATTGTTTAAGCAACATAAAAATAAGGGAAAATGACTTGTTTCATTTCTCATATTTCGCAAAATATTTTTTTCATCTCTCACTTTTAAAACGAAACAATTTCGTCCCTAACATTTAAAAATTGAATCTATTCCATTCCTAAACCCAACTTTCAATATGAATCAAATCATCCAATAAATCCAATAATAAATTTTGAGGATAGAATTGATAGATCACTCGGTCAATTCCATCACATTCACATGACATTTATTGAACCAAAAAAGGAAAAAAATTAAAAATTATAACATAAAAATCTTGGAATAGTATGATTTCTTTTTTGGGTATATCTTTTCATGCATCGTTAGTATATGTGCTTGTGAGTTTAGATGTATACCATACATACAAAGTTTGATGTTCAAATTTAAATTGAAATGATGTGGCAAGTATTCAGACCGGTCTGTGTATACAATGATAATGTAGAAAAGATTAATCCATCTTTTTATGTTTTTTTTTAAATTTTTGGATTCATTAAATATCACGTGAATATCAAGTTGAGTAAACTAAATGATCTACTAATTATATCCCCGAAATTTTTAATCTGGTTGATAGGTGATTTGATTCAGATTGAAAGTTGAGTTCAGGGATGCAATAGCTTTTTTAAATGTCAAGGAAAAATTTGTTTTATTTTAAAAGTGAGGGGTGAAAAAAATATTTTTGTAAAATATGAGGGATGAAACTAGTCATTTTCTCTAAAAAGAAACAGAATGGTTAGATTCTGAATTGAAAGTAAATTCCTACTTGAAGAAAAATTGCACATAACATGTTCAACTTCTAAAGAAATAGCCAAAACTAGTGCATTTTATCAAATTCTTCTTAATCTTCATCGATATTTAAAAACAATAATATATCGGCATAATTTCTTCCCCAGGCAAGTTAAAAGCAACAACATGATTACGGACATAAAATGATCCTTAAACTGAATTTCCTCAAAACGATTATTCTCAGCTTCAATGTCTTAAAAAATAAAAAAAGACTACGCAAGCAAGAACTTAAACAAATTATAAGGGCGCCAGAATTATATTGCTTAAATATGTTTTGTTTTCTTGCTAAACTAGCGCTTAAGTTGCGATACAGTAATTGCAGTTAATATTCATTTTCTATTCATATTACATAACTAACCAATATGCATGAAAATTGTACCTGTTTTCTCCATTTCTATAGTTATATCTTATATGACATAGAGTAAACATTTCCAAAAAAGAACTTTAATTTCCAGATTTACATACATAGATCAACCTAAAAAGTCAACTAGATTCTAGAGTCAATGAAATAATTCAATTATACGTTCATGTTACCTAAAAAATAAAGAAAAATTGGTTCATCCTAAAATAAAATAAGAGAATAAACAGCCTTAATTGTGGGAAAAATCACTACTAAATACTACCAGTGTTTTCCCTCTACGATATTAACAGTGTTTTCCCAGAGTATGAATCTTTCTTCAACCAATTATTTCTAAAAATCATTGTTAAAGTGCTTTTAAGTTCAAAATTTAAAATGAAATTGTTCCATTAAAGTCTTACATATTTCAATTCATTGAAAGAATTAAACAATATATTATATACTAGTAGTCTACTAATCCTCTTTCAAAAGGAAAGACAGTTTAAAGAAAAAAAAAGGGAAGTTAACATAATCCCAAATTAAGAAGAATAAAACTGCAATGATACCTTGTCCAAGGACTATGATGGACTTCAAATCACAGGTTGACTACAAAATTTGGCTTACTTTTGATTCGTTTATGACCCGTAACATATGACTTTCTTGATTTTGTTTCTACCAATTGGCTTTCAAAAATTATCTTCTATTGTTCTCAAGTTCTAGACTACTTTTTCTTTTTTTTTTTTGGGGGTAAATCCTACTTTGATCATTTCATTGGATTACACTAGTAGGTGTGCACTATCCGCAGCCAGCAAATTCAACAAGTTCGGAGTTTTTTTTTGTTTTTTGGGTTGAAAACTAAAGTGCTCTTTTTTGTTTTGTCATGTTCAGACCAATGTTTCAAACATCGTATTGATTCATAACAGATGAACTACCATTATCCTATTCCTTGGCTTTAACAGAGATAAAGACTAGAGTATGAATCTATCTACACTAATTAATCATCTCTTTCATGAAGTCCTTGGTCCAAGTGGCCTCAAAACTTGAGCTATGATCACAAGGATTGCTAGTGTTATCTTCTTTGGCTTCCTTGTGTGGTTGTCTGATGCAGAAGACACCATCAGGCCGACAAAAGTGATGGGAGAGAATGAAACTCTAGTCTCCGCTGGTGGTGTATTCGAGTTAGGCTTCTTCGAGGATGCAACTTCAGGTAACAGATTTATGGGTACTTGGTTGAAGAATGATGTAAACAAGAAGGCACTTTGGGTGGCAAATCGTGATAATCCCATGTTGTCGGATCCTTCTGCAACTCTGCAAATAAGGGATGATGGGAATCTCATTCTCCTTGACAGAAGACAATCACCGATAATTGTGAATTCAGGAATGATTGCAAGAAGTGATAATACAAGTGCAACACTTCTTGATTCTGGTAACTTATTCCTCCGACAAGGTGATCAGGTAGTATGGCAGAGTTTTGATTATCCAACAGATACTTTTCTTCCCGGAATGAAGATAGGAGAGTTTGGCTTGACTGCAGAAGTACCAAGAAATCAGTCGTTAGTTTCATGGGTAAATCCTGAGAATCCTCTCCGGGGAGCATTCACGCTTGGTGTTCAGTCTGTTGATCACAAGGCTGCAACAAAATTGGGTGTCTGGAGAGGATACAATGATCACATGGATATCAGCTCATGGGATGGAAACAACTTTGTATTCATTTTCAAGAACTCGACCAATAGTTTTAACTTTGTTTACGTTTACGTATCTGATGAAAATGAGTCATACGTCACTTTCACCACAATTGGTAAATATGACATGTCATGGTTGGTAATTTCCTCAATTGGGCATATTGATGAGTACACAATGTTTAATGGGAGTATTTCTACAGTGAGCCATTCCTTATGTGATAAATCAATTATAGGCAATTCCAATGTGTGCATGGACTCAGAAACTTCAAGGTGCACAGATGGCGATGCATTTATGCCGATGAATGGTACATTGCCAGCTTCAATGACTGTAGATTTATCAGTTGTCTCTACTGAATGTGAATTTTTGTGCAAGAGGAACTGTTCTTGCATTGGATTTGCCACATTTCAGGATGATCTAGCTTGGTGCCAACTTTACTATGGGAGCAAAAATGACATCTTGAACCTTACGCTGAAAGAGGGGAATGGTACTGTTTATGTCCGTGGCTTTGCCACCTATCCTACAGGTACGTTCGATACCAATTTATGTAGAAAGATTGTCGATCAAGATCAACATTTAATTTGATGGTGCTGTGTTTCTGTGTATATGAACATGGTATTTCTTGGAGTTATTATTTTTGTTGAAATGCTAGTTTGCCCAAAGATTATAATAAGTCAGTATCAACGCCATTATTCAATTGTATATCTCATCCTTACCCCACAGAAAACAAAACTAAAAGAATATTGCAAAGGTTGAAAATATTCCTCTTAGCTTGGCAGCTAGTGCAGCATGTAAATTTCAAGGAAGTTAACCCATCATTTTCACACTTTCAGCATATATTGTTAAAATTCTCGTGCAGCTAGAGTAGTAGTTAAGTAAAAGTCAAATGACCAACCACTGCTGTTAATTGTGCAGTAGCTTCATCTCTAATTCTTAATGCTAAGTGGACATTTCTCAATTTACTGCCATTGAATTATCCCAGTACTTTCACACCTAGCTAGTCCACTTGATAATTATAGCAGAGGTTCATTTTAGTAACCGTGCACGACCTAATCATCGCCTAATCTTGTATGTATCAGTGTAAACATTTCTTTTACTACTAGGCAAAGTCCATTGGTTTAAATGCATTTCTTTCTTTATAGGTGCTGTAAAGAAGAGTCTGCTGTTAGTTCTCTTAAGTGCAGTATGTCCCCTGATTGTAACAATGCTGGTGGCTTTGTGGTGCTATAGAAGAGGGCAAATTAGCAGTCGTAGAGGTCCTCTCTGCTCTATTTCTATTTTGCGCAAGCGTATTATTTGTTACATCTAACACAGAATATCTTACTAAAATCCTAATCAGTTAGTATTGTTTTTGTAAACCAGTTAGCAAGCTAAAACAGCAAGAAGATGTGAGGCTTGATTCATTACTTAAGCCGTATAACCGCCATGTTGCAAACGTCAAAGCAAAAACTGCAGATCACATTGAGATGGGAAGTGTCAATGATCAGGAGTTGCCACTTTTTAACTTGCAGGCCATAGAAACTGCAACTGATCAGTTCGCCACGCAAAATAAGCTTGGTGAAGGTGGCTTTGGACCAGTTTATAAGGTTGATGAAGCATCTTAGGTTAGTTTCAGTGGATATGGAGCATAAGTTAGATGCTAAAAGCAATTCCATATATTTCAGGGAAAATTGCCCCAAGGTCAAGAAATTGCAGTAAAAAGACTTTCCCAGAGATCAGGACAAGGAGTGAAGGAGTTCATGAATGAGGTCACCCTGATATCTAAACTCCAGCACAGAAATCTAGTGAGGCTTTTGGGATGTTGCATACAAGGAGACGAGTATATATTAATCTACGAATACATGCCCAACAGAAGCTTGGACTCGTTTATATTTGGTTAGTACTTGACATCTTGCGGTGATCTTAAATTTTGATAAGGTGAAAAATTCATAAGGTCAGATTTTTATCTAAAGTATCTATTATTACACTTATGATCTACCTGCAGATTCTACCAAACGAACACTGTTAGATTGGACCAAACGTGTATCCATTATTGAAGGAACTGCTCAAGGGCTTCTTTATCTCCATAGGTATTCAAGGCTGAGGATTATTCGTCGCGATCTAAAAGCAAGCAACATATTGTTAGACAATGATATGAACCCCAAAATATCTGATTTTGGAATGGCCAGAATATTTGGAGAAAGTGAAACCAGATCAAAGACAACAAAAATTGCTGGAACATAGTAAGTAAGATTCTCAAATTATCTTCATTTGCAATCAATTCTTCTTCTTATGCTAGTGCCCAGCCGCATTTCAAGTTTTAACAGAATCTGATGTTCATTTTTCATGTCCAGTGGCTACATGGCTCCTGAATATGCCATGGATGGTCTCTTTTCCGAAAAACCAGATGTATTTAGCTTTGGAATCATTGTGCTCGAGATTATTAGTGGACATAGAAATATGGCCTTCTTCGAGTCTGATAGCTCTCTGAACCTACTTGGCCACGTAAGGAATATTAAAACTTCTTTTCTAGATTTATTTTTCTGCCTTTCCTGGTTCAGGGCAAAACCTATGGCATGCGTTTTGCCATTTCCAAATCCAACTATTTGAAGCCTCAAAATGTCACTTGTATAGTTTGGTTTAGTCTTCAAGCTGTTTGAACTGATAGTATCAGTCTTGAATTTCAGGCGTGGAATTTGTGGAAGGAGGAAACACCGCTGGAACTTCTGGACTCTACAGTAGCTAATTCTTCATGTTCAGCAAGTGAAGTTGTTCGATGCCTTCAATTAGGTCTCTTGTGTGTTCAAGAGAGAGCTGCAGATCGTCCTTGCATGTCAGATGTCATATCCATGCTTAGAAATGATACCATTGTTCTTCCTCTACCCAAAGAACCTGCATTTCTGGCACAATTCACCAGTGGTACTGACAGTCATTCATCACGAAACCAGAATAGAGATCATTCCAGAAATGAAATAACCGTTTCAGAAGTTCATGGAAGATAGAATTTCGAGATGTTCAGTTAGAAAACGTTAGTAATCTGTACATGTTTCATACTTGGTAGCAAAATCCTGTACATGTTCACATCTGTACTTTTTTGCAAAGATGGGAAGTTTGCCCTACAAGAAAGGGGAAGATGATCACAGCAGTTCATATTTCAACTTGACTTTTGTTTTCTCTTTGCGCATCTTGAAAATGCAATTTGCCGTTTAAAGAAACAAAAAAATATGCAACCTGTTGATTGCATTTAAAGAGGAAAAAAAAAAAAAACACTCTGAGCAGCAACTCCATTGGGAAAAGCTGAAAGTTGTTTTGTGTCAGATAAAAACTACTAGCTCTTCATAATTAAGTCAAATGGTACAAATACTGGTGATTAAGTGGTCAAGAAACATTCTGAGAAGTTGGACTTGAAATGTGAACTTTAATTGCTAATTACAATTTACGACTGCAACTTGTTAGTGTTACAACAATTTAACAAAAATTGGGCTCTTTAAACTATCCTTCATAGAAAACCATATTAATTGCTGTAGCTGATATGCTAAAACTTATTAAATAAGTCATCTGCTTCTGTTGTTTTATGAAGTTGAGTAACCTGTTTGAACATGTACATCGACCCTGGAATCGACTTGATCTTAATTTTACAAGTTCAGTGCTCTTTCTTAGAGTTGTTATTGTCCTCATGTACGTTTGAGTAGTATACCCAAGTTAAATTGCTAGTGAAGGATAATTTAGTTGTGGTTCTGCTATCCTTGAGATTTTAGAAGGTGTAATAGGATGCTGCACAACAAGCCTTCTTTTATTTTTATTTTTATTTTTGGATGTTGTCCAAACCATGCAAATAGGAGGTGGAGTCATCAGGTTGGATGTCGTAAACTGAACCAGGATTAGAAGCTCTTGATGGATTTACTTGGCCAGCATCAATGACAAACATGTCAGCAGGAAGCATATTTCTTTCAAGTATGAGTCTATGTTATGGTTCAAGATATCGGCAGTTGACATTATTTCAGATTCAATAGCCGCCAGAGACAAACTGTGGTGTAAAGTCTATAGTAAAGCCGCATTACCAGTATATCAGTTAAGTAAGGGCGTGAGATTGAGGTTCCAAAGATTGTGGAAAGAGATGATATTGGTGCATAAGTCCATGCAGCAAAGATGTTAGCACCAGAGCATATAAGGTAGAAGAATGAAGCAACATCAGGCACATTTTTACTCCTAAAACTGTTTCCAATGGAACTTATGTAAGCTTGATTGCTTGTCAGGCAGCAAAACTCACTTCGGCTGCCGGAAGGACATGATCTTCTGCATAATTTGTATATCCATCAGTCTGCCCTTTCATGAGAATCATGGCAGAAACACCAATACACTTTGCCTTCTTCCTTTTTCATCTCCTGCAAAATCCTTATCACTTTTGCAGAATTCTACTTTCCCTCTGTTGTCAATGCCTTCCAGTGACCCTGTAGCAGCACTTGCAGCCTTTTAGCAACCATTTATGCCTGGACGATCCAATGCTATAGTGTCCTTACAAAGACGAGTTGCATCATCTTCACCAAAAGAAAGACTCAAAGCATCAATTCCCCTCGTCAATGGCAGCATCAATAGCAGCTAGAAAAGCACCATCTGGAGAGTGATTCCAAAATCATCACAGACTTGATACAATACAAGGCTGAACAAACAGATGTACCATTTGCTTGTTAAATACATATTGGCATCTTTCACAAAATTTCCAGCAACTCTGCTTGAAGATTAAGTACCATGACAAGCTACCTGGACAGGCAGCCCTGGTTTGAAAAAATGCCTTAAACCAATGAAATTGCTATCACATTCTAATCCATCCAAGTCACATTTACCTTTCCAATTAGCCAGTGGAGGCTGCATTCCTTGATCACCAAAAGATGGATGACCTGGCTTAATTCCACCATCTAAAACCCCTATTATAACACCTTCTCTGAGTCATGCTCCTGGCCAAAATCTAGAATTCTGATTTAGCCTATTAATTTTGGACTTCGGTTTGTATGCAGAGACAAGATCTTTTGAGGCCTGGCATGCATATAAGAACATTCATTTTTCTCCATTTCTTTTACTTCTTGAGGTGTTAATCTGGCTGCAAAGCCAGTAATAACGTTTCACTTAACATTTGCTAAATTGTTCAAGATCTTTGGTTACTGTACTCATGATTAACAGTACACTTGTAGTTTCACTCAATCCCCTTGATATTCAAACAGTTTGTGAACCCAGACTTCAATGTGGGTGCACAAAGATGCTCCAAATTATTTTTAGTCGCCCTTATATTCCTCTTCCTTTTAACTTTCTTTCTGTTTTCTTCTACATTTCCTTTTTCATTTTTTCTTAAATGATCACTATCTTAACTTCCTCACGGAAGCTCCTCCAGCCAAGCTTGCTGTTTAGTATGCTAATTGCTAATGGAAAAGGAAGAATACAATGAAACAGAAGGGAGAAAGAAAAATAAGAGGGAAACTAATCAAAAGAAAAATGATTAACTGCGCGACAATGAGTAAGCAAGATAAGCTGAGAAATGATCCTACTCCTTATTCTGTTATCTTTTTTCTCTACCTCCATGCAACCTGATTGTAGACATGACGTTCAAGAGATACATTAGGTTTCTTGTATCATCATATATTACTATCACTTTTCTTACATTATCATACATCATCATCACCACGTAGTTTTTGCATTATATGCTTTACAAGTCGCCCTATTAGACTGACCATACCCAAGTATTTGCCTTTGATAAATCTCATGTCCTTATTTCGAAATTTGATGAGGAAAATATATCGTAGAATTTGGTATTGTGTTCTTAGAGCACTAAAATTGGAGTGAAGTGCGCCATGTAAAAAGTTTTTGGGCGCAAGTATTACGCCCTCAAAGTACAAACTGTTAATGTAATATTCCGTTGAAGCTAAAATTTTTATGAATTAACTTGTTATACAATGATGGTAAAGCGACTTTTTTATATTAGCAACTTTAGATGTATGTTACATGTGTATGATTTGAACTTCAAATTTTTTGAATTCATGTCATGTGCCATAATCTAAATATGCTAGTATAAAAAAAATTATATATTGATAGTGTATAAAAATGTTATCCAATTTTTATATGTAGAAAAACTATCGAGAGCTTGAATCAAATTCATATGTATTGTCCAAAGAGAAATGAACTAACTCCAGTTTGCACTCCCAAACTTATATCACTTTTTTCACTTTGCACCCTAAACTTTAATTTTGAACACTTTGTACACTAAACTCTTAATATTGGATAATATGCCACCTAAACTCTCTATTTTGTTTCATTTAAGTCTAATCAATGATAACATTAGTAAAACTAATGGCATAAAGAACCATACAAATCAATGACAATGTATTAAAAATGATTAAAGGAGCCAAGGGATCACAATTAGAAGAAAATGATACATTATCATTAATTTGCATTGTCCTTTGTTTTGTTAACTTTGCTAACAATATTAATAATTTGGACCATACAAATCAATGACAATGTGCTGAAAATGGTCAAAATAAGTTAAAGGATCACAGTTAGAATAAAACTATACATTGTTATTAATTTACACCGCACTTTATTTTGTTAATTTTGCTAATTTTGTCATTTGTTGGATTTAAATGGAACAAACTTGATAGTTTAAGATACAAATTGTCTAAAATTGAGAATTTAGGGTGTAAAATATTTGAAATTGAAGTTTAGGGTGCAAAATGGGAAAATGATACAAGTTTGAGGGTGTAAAATGGAGTTAGTCCAAGAGAAATGGCTACCTGAGTTGTCAATTTTCTTGGGTTTACACCTTTTAAAGATCAAATTCCACACTGACCAGATCAAAATACTAATTGGGACTAACTCCACTTTACCCTTTTAAATTTCTATCACTTTCTCACATTTCATCCTAAATTTTAATTTTGAACATTTTGCACCCTAAACTCTTAATTTGGATACTTTGCACCCTAAACTCTCAATTTTGTCATATTTGGATATTTTGCACCCTAAACCCTAAACTTTCTCACATTAAGTCTAATCAATGACAAATTTAGTAAAATTAATGGCATAAAGGACACTACAAATTAATTACAAGATGTTGATAATGGTCAAAAGGAGCATATGCATCATAGTTTAAACAAAATGATACATTATCATTAATTTGCATCATCATTTTCTCATCAATTTTGCTAATAATATTGGTGATTGAAACCATAAAAATCAATGACAATGTATTGAAAGTGGTTAAAAAGAGCCAAGGAATTGTAACTAGAACAAAACTATACATTGTCATTAATTTACGCAATCCTTTATCTCATTAATTTCGCTAACTTTGTTATTTATTGGACTTAAATAGGACAAATTTGAGAGTTTAGGTGCAAATGTCCAGAATTAAGAGCTTAGCATTCAAAGTATCTAAAATTAAAGTTTAGGATGTAAAGTGAAAAGGTGGTATAAGTTCAAGGATTCAAAATGGAGGAAACTTACACTGAACCTTGTCCTCTGTGTATTACACAATCCTGTATTTTTCTTTTATTTTTTTACCAATCATGTATAGATTTGATTGCACACACTTTCTTAATCTCCAAGAATCTATCAACTCTTTCCTTCTATCACTTTTGAAGTAAGCAACAAAAAGAAATTTTTTTTTTTTTTGCTAGTTTTGTAGGCTTCCTGGGAGTATCAATTGCTAATCAACCTAGAAGTTTTGTTATGTATTTTGATTGCTTTAACTTTTTAGAAGAATGCATAAGGAAACGTGATTTAACATTATATCTCAGTGGTAAAGTTTGGACAGATAATACGAGTTAAGAGTTTGCACACGTTAAGTAAGAATACATATACGTATGAAATACCTATAGTTTATCAACTTACCTTATTTTTCAAAGAGTAAATTAAGATGCCTATCCTACAAATATATAGTATATATATATATTTATATATCTTTTTCAGTTATTTACTGCATAAAGTTACTTCTTTTTGTACCCGGATTTAAATACAACTTGAACTAAATGTATTCAAAGTCATCTTTTAGATGGTAAATTTTATATACACTGTCATTGTATATACTATTACAGTTGGATGGATGATACATGAG